CCTGGTATGATGGTGACCCCGGCGCAGTCTGCGTGGAGTTTTCGTGAAGCTGACCCCGTTGCAGGGACTTGAATACCGTGACCAGACCGATGACAAGGTCACCGTTGAGGCCGCAGAGGCCATCAAGAAATATGGTGTTGGTGTCAAGTGTGCTACTATCACCCCCGATGAAGCTCGTGTTGAGGAGTTTAAGTTGAAGAAGAGTAGGTGCCGGATTGAACAATCGCATCGTACATGCTCGTTAACCTGGGCTTCCTTTAGTGTGGCTTTCTCCCAACGGAACCATCAGAAACATTCTGTACGTACTGCTAAACCTGCATGGCCTGCGCTGCCCTGGTGCATGATCACTAACATCACTTGCAGCGGCGGAACTGTCTTCCGTGAACCCATCATCATTCCCCGCGTGCCTCGTCTCGTGCCCGGATGGACCAAGCCTATCATCATTGGACGTCACGCATTCGGTGACCAGTACCGTGCCACTGACCGTGTGATTCCCGGCCCTGGCAAGCTTGAGCTGGTCTACACCCCTGTCAATGGCGAGCCTGAGACCGTCAAGGTCTACGACTTCCAGGGCGGTGGTGTTACTCAAACTCAGTACAACACTGACGAGTCCATCCAAGGCTTCGCTCACGCCAGTTTCCAGATGGCCTTGCTGAAGGGTCTGCCTCTGTACATGAGCACCAAGAACACCATCCTGAAGAAGTACGACGGTCGCTTCAAGGATATCTTCCAGGAGATCTACGAGACCACCTACCAGAAGGATTTCGAGGCCAAGAAGATCTGGTATGAGCACCGTCTCATCGACGACATGGTCGCTCAGATGATCAAGAGCGAGGGTGGCTTCGTCATGGCTCTTAAGAGTAAGTGACTTGTCCTGGCCTGGACCGTTTGACCGAGAGCAGCGTTCTAACTGAGGGTAACTAGACTACGATGGTGATGTTCAGTCGGACATCGTCGCCCAGGGTTTCGGCTCTCTGGGTCTGATGACCTCTACTCTGACCACCCCCAGCGGTGAGGCCTTCGAGTCTGAAGCCGCTCACGGCACCGTGACCCGCCACTACCGTGAACACCAGAAGGGCCGTGAGACCTCGACCAACCCCATTGCCTCCATCTTTGCCTGGACCCGTGGTCTTGTGCAGCGTGGCAAGCTCGACGAGACCCCCGACGTGGTTGCTTTCGCCGAGGAGTTGGAGCGTGCCTGTATCGAAGTCGTGAACGACGAGGGCATCATGACCAAGGACCTGGCTCTTGCCTGCGGCCGCAAGGACCGTGAGGCGTGGGTCACCACCCGCGAGTACATGGAGGCTGTTGAGCGGAGGCTGAAGAGCAACCTGAAGTCTAGACTGTAAAGGCTTGCGGGTTTAATAATGTTTTTTTAAGTTACTATAAATTCTAGCGTGCAGCCCGAAGGACTGCAGTCATGACGGAGTAAAGATAGCATATAACAGACGACTTCAATGTACATTTTACTTTGCAATTATCGTACCTTATTCTCTTTATGGATTCTGCGTAGGATATCCCCGACTCGCTCCCTCTCTTATGCATTCGTATATAGTGTTCCCACGCTATAGAGCGTAAATCAGTTGCCCCTGAGGGCCCAGCCCAAGGGACATTTTGGGTCTGACTCTTGAAAGCCCTCTCGCCTGTGGCCGCTTGAATCATGCAGAGCGGGAACCATGGATGCAGCTACCGGATTACCCAATAGGGTAATAGGGCTAAGAAATTCCCGGGACTCTTGACGCAATTGATTTTTGAATATGCATTGCTTTCGTCAATGGCTGAACAATTGGCCACAAATGCTTGGAAGAAGTTTCTGTGCCTGCTTGAAACCCCTCAGCCATGTCAGGACAGAACGAATTTCAAAAAGATATCCTACCGAGGGTCAAACCATGCAGCCACACTCTGGTGACCACCATCAAGTCGCAGGATGTACGTGGTACCGGTTGCCGTGACCTTTCTCGTGGTATCGATAGTGATTGTCATTTTACGCTTATTCACTCGACTCTATTTCGTCCGGACTGCGGGCTGGGATGATCTGGTAATTGCGTTTGCCCTGGTATGTGTCCAATGATACGACGGACATGATATGGAATTAATGAAAACCACCCCAGCTCTCAGAGATCGGCTTATTCGTCTGTATCATGATAGGTAAGTATCAGTCAGTCACTTGTGTTCTTTCCCAAACGCCACTAATATTGGAACATCAAGAGGTCCGCCATGGCTTGGGACAAAGCATGCATTCCCTCAGCCTGGAGACAGTAGAGAGTCAACTCAAGGTACATCCTACTATCCAGTACTCTGTACCCACTATAAATATCCACGCCGTACCTGACACATCTTGATCTAGGCCTTATGGGCCAGCGTCCCATTATACAATCTAAGTCTCAACCTAACCAAGGCCTCAATGGTGCTGTTATATCTGCGCCTATTCCCACTAAGAACCTATCAAATCGCCCTTTACATCGTCTTGATATTCGTCATCATCAGCGGCCTCTGGATGGTTTTCGCCTCCTTCTTCATGTGCATCCCCATCCGTGGCGCGTGGGATATCTCCAGTCCCCATAACTGTATCCCCAAGGAAGTCCTCTGGAGTCTTAACGCTGCCCTCCAGATAGTCACCGACATGACTATCGTCATTTTACCCATGCCGCTACTGGCCAAGCTTCAGTTACCGAGGAAGCAGAAGATAGCATTGATTTTGGTTTTTGCATTGGGAACATTGTTCGTCTACCCTTGTCAACTTCTAGACTTTCAACCATCATCATCTCCATGTCCATCTCCCTTCTACCAGAATATCAAACTAACAATCCCTTTTTTTTTTTCTCATCCAGTGGCTGCGCAGTAAGCATAGTTCGCCTAACAGCTCTTGTTGAAATGATCCAAAGTACAGATCGAACAAGTATATATATCCCCACAATACATCCCCCCCATTATCCAACCCAAAACACCCACTAACTAACAAATACTAGAATACAACGCCGCCGCAGCAAACTGGTCCTTCATCGAATCCAGCGTCGCCATAATATGCGCCTGCTTGCCCCCTCTCCGTCCGATAATAGTACACATCTGTCCGCGTCTCTTCCTCTCCCAAGACCGCAGCCGCTGCCAATCGGAGAAACCGGCATTGAAAGCCCTGGATACACCGAATCCGTTCCGGTTCGCGAATCATAGTTACTCGGCTAGTGTGACGGGGAATTGTTCTACGAATAATGATGGGAGGGAGCCGAGTATGCATCGACATCCCGATGTGGATGGGATTCAGGTTGTGAGTGAGGTTCATTGGGATTTGAATTCGGCGGATGACTGTGCTGAAGAGACGCATTCTCAGCGGGGGTTGAGGCCTTCCGGGAGGAGTTTTTCTGTTGGTCGGGGTTGATCGGGGGGAGACTTTTTATTGTTGAGTCCTCGGGATAGAATAGAGTTGGATATAGATACCCTTTTGTTTTTTGTGATTGATTTTTGATAGTCCGGTTTTGGTTTCTTGGATATACCATCCTTGTTTCTTACGTGTATGATGTTTCAACGACATCACCTTGTAGATTTGTACAGTAGTGTCTATCTGGTTGCATACCTGCACATACTAGGTGCAAACCATGTCTAGTAGACGCCCAGTGGGCTACGGAGGCTATAGCAACTGTAAAGGTCGCGACTTGTACCTCAACCAGATGAACCATTCAACATTGGATTATAAGCAACCTTTAGGATTTACCTAATTAAATGAAGTACAGTGATCAAAAAGCTGTGTGGAGAGCAAAAGCTAGCAATGGTAGTAGCCAGTAATAGTAATAAGCAAATCATTAAGAGTACACACATTCAATCTTATGGATATGCATTCTGCGGAATTCCAACGCCATCTGTGTATGTTTTTCACCGTTAGATTGATGGATTTTTCTTAGGCCGAACCGCCTTCGAAAGTCTTTCTGAAGCTGCTTGCGGCTGCGACGATTTTGTAGGTTGAGGTGAAGCAGCCCATGAGCGACGTGAAATATCATACATGTCCATATCCTCTTTTCTAGAAGACTGAGTGCCTATTCTCAATCGGCTATCTAGACTCGATTCGGAAGGTGAGAATGGGAAAATGGGTGACTGGTCGACTTCGAATTGCTGGAGTGCCTGTTTCTGGCATGGGAGTGAGTCCGTCTTATGCTTAGGAGAGCGATTGGATTCTTGTGACTCGGACCTCGATGAGGCCCCCGGTATAGGCACTGGCTGCATTTGCTGTCTAGCAGGACGATCGGGATTCTGTGGCTTGGAGCTCGATGGAGCCAATGGTATAGGAACTGGTTGCCTCTCCTGTCTAGCAGGACGATCGGACTCTTGTGGCTTGGAGCTTAATGGAGCGCTTGGTACAGGATTTTGTCCCGTTTCCTGGATCTCATCACCTTGAAAAGGTGCGATAGATGCATTGCCTGCATTGTTGCCTACTGGTGCCGGCCTGATCTCGTCGTCGTCCACTCCATGCCCCTGGTTATTTTGGGGTTGACCCTGGCCACTCGGACCAGCCACGGCATTTTGCACATTTGAAGCGCTTGGCAAATTGGTAGGAGTTAGAGGAGTTGTAGAATCTGGAGGTGACCCATCACCGTTTTGTGCTTGATTTTCCGCGTTCCATGGTTGTCTTAGAATCCTCCGTGCTCGAGTTTCGGCCCTCCTCGCTCGAATCCGTTGGCAGCAGTCTTTGATGTTGACGAGACACATTCCAACAAAAGGGCTCTGCAGGTTCGCATAATAAGGGGGCTCCGTGAAGCATGCAGGGTATCCAGGCGTGTGAAAGAGTGGCTGCTTCAAGGACATTAGATAACTCGATGCCAGAGGTGAAAGTGCCTCCTGTGATGATTGTGAAAGAAATGCACCGGCGTAGATCTTGTTTGGTTTCGTAAGTGGTAAGGAGGGGATCTGAGAGCTATTTCCAGTCTTTCCACTTTGCTCCGAGACGCTTCGATGAAGACGATCGACACTGGCATTGCAGTGGTGGCAGACGACGTCGTATTCGCCGACGCGTGGGAGAGAGCTGAAACTAGCAGGAGCCATGGCAGTAAACAATGACATATCATTCCAGTCCCAGTTTCCGACCTGAATCCACGTCGGTAGCTCGTCGACTGGGATCAAGGGTATCAATGAACCTTGCGGTCTAATAATATAGAACCTGGGAAATGGCTGTAGCATGGAGTAGTAAGTAATATGGCTGAGAGTAAGGGAAGAATAACGAATGGTTGCAGTCACAGTAGCGATTGTTAGAAAAGTAAATGACCGATCGAGATAAGAGAGATGTTTTGGATTGTGAGAATCTGAGATTCGAGAGGATATTAAATACTGGCTACTTGCAATGTCATGGAGGGAAGTCGCGGGTTGCGTTCAACCGTCCAGGAAAGTACAACTGCTGAGAGTCATGGTCACATTGCGTATTGGCGAATGATTGACAGATGTGGAAAGCACGTGTATCTAGTATATACATGAGATCTCTCAATGACTATGGACATCGAGAGGTTATGATGAAGTAAATGTCCCATTGTTGCAGCTGAACCCGAGGTTTGGATTCAGCTCTGCCGTAGCCTTCATGCAGATGACGCTGGCTGGCTCCAGATCTTGTGGATAAAGCTGGATGTTCTTTGTAACAAAGTTCTTACAGGATTTATCCGTGTTGCACTCTATCACGACTGCCTCCGTGTGCTTCAGGTTTGGAAGTCCAGCGTTATACCAGCAAGGGTCGGTTGCGCATGATCCATCACCAGGTTGATATGAGTTGATTGAGCCGGAAAAGTCTTCCCAGGTAAAGTCCTCCATCATCACTGAGGACTCGGTGTCAACGCCATCACGCGAGACGCTTTGGTCGTAGTAACTCTGGGTTACAAAAATGGGGAACGTTACGTTGTATACACGGATGTTTTTCCAAGTCACGTTCTTGACAAGGCCCTGACCACCCGTCCAAGACTTGAAGCGAGCAGCGTACAGGGCGTCAATCACGGTCACGTCTTCGAATCTGAGGTTGGTAATGTTGACAATGGCCGAGGGATCCTTTCCTAGTGATCCGATGCTCATACCATGGGATTGGTAGCCAATCGTATTTCTCTCGAATGCAATGTTATGTGAATCGGATCCGACGGCGATCGCATCGTCGCCATTATACATAATGCTGTCAGAAATGCGGATATTGGTACCCTGAACATCAAAAGCGTCCGTGTTGAATGGAAAGCTGCCAGTGGAGGAGGCGTCCACAATGGCATGGCTGACAGTGATATCTTCTCCATGAAGCTTCATGTTCCAAGCAATCGGCTTGCCAGACCTGAAGTATTTAATCGACGCCTGGCTGGTTTTATAGCTCATGAGATGAGGCCGGCCGGAGATTCCAGTGCTATTGGGAGGGTTTGCGTCCCACCAGGCCTGGCCGTATGATTTAATCCACCCATTGTTTACATCTTCGGGCCCAGTCCAATCCACACGGGGTCCTTCTAAAGTAAACCAAGTAGAGGTGCCTGCATTAACAATATCCCGCACCGCCGAGATGTTTTGCGGAAGATGCAGGTTTCCATGCATCTGTATCTCCACATTGCTCAGATTTGTGGCTTTAATCGGTTGGAAAATATTATAATCAACGCCTTCCTGGAAGACAATGACTGAGTTGGTCGCGCATTGCGCGAACGCTCTGGACACTTCGGGGGAATCATCTGCAGTGCCATTGGAAGAGCGTACCACACACCGACGCCCTCGGGAATCGGGCGAGGAGCTATTTCCTCCTGCAGCGTGTGCTAGGGGTACGGAATAAAACAGAAAAGCCAGAAAGGCTGTCTTGGAGATTAGCATAGCGTATGCCGTTTGGAGGGACAATAATCACTGGCAAAGATATGAGGGGATAACTATGTGGCCATCCTGCCGGGTCGTTGGTCTTTATATGCTCACTCAAATGGAGGTACACCGCTGTCCGAAGCATTAAATTGTCTTTGCTTGAAACGATATGACCTCAACCAGTACTTACATGACCCACTGCCCGGAGAAATAGGTGTTGAATTGTTAAGAAGCCATGTCTTAGCCCCACAGCTCGGCCTGGAATTGGTGGAGAAATTATGCCGTAGACCAAATGCCTGTTAATCTTGGCTCCGGATCTGCGGTAAAGTAGTCAGTACCTGCCTTGATCCCAAAAGGACTTTTAAACCCTAATGTCGGTCCAATGCTTGTATATTGCTACGTAACTGTGTTTTTGTATTGTTGGTGTGTGGGACATCCCAGGGAGCGTCAGCTCTGCTAACAAGCAGATCGTATGTGGGACATGGTGCCTGTTAGGCATCTCCTTTAGCAGCAGTCATGCCAAGCGTACGATACGATATGAAGCACCGCATAGTTAGTACTTGAGTTCGAGCGATTCATAGTGATTCCCAAAATGTTTGGTTGGCCAATTCACCTCCAATAGAAACACTTTAATCACAATGGTCAGATGGGTAGTACTTCTAATTTCATACGGCACGACCAGTCGAATAAACGGAAACTGAGCTCAGCCAAAAGTAAATTGTGTTTTTAAGCGTCGCCTGGCTCTGGCTAGAAATATTTATTCCTTATCACCAGAGTCAGGACCTCAGGTCTCCAGAATTTAACTATGAACTATAGCATGACAGACGCGTATTGAATGATACAATATATGGTTCCCAATCCAAGGCGCTACCCTGACTACCAAGGAGGTAATTTTGACGGTGCTATCATCTAGCTACTAGTTCCTTTTAAGAATTTTACAAGTAAACTGTATTAGCTAGCCCCTAGACTTTTATTAGCGTTGTTTATTACGCATGGGGCGACGATCCTCTCATAGATGTACACTTTGAATGAACTCCACGGCATCCATAGATGCATTCAAGCGACTCATGAGCTTATCGAAACTGGAAATGTGCCCCCAACGGAGGAATGGGAAGAGCTTGTGGAGCAGATTCTAAATATAAGTAGCTATTTTTGAATTTTATTACTGATTAATGACCTACTGTGTTTCGTTGTGCCAAGAGCTAGCGCTCTTTTAGAATTAATCAGAACACCGCGAGTACAAGATAAACATGGCGCCGATGAAGACTAGGGTTACTATGCAATCGGTGGTCAGAAGAGGGGATATGTGTGTAGTTCTCTTTGTACGTCAAACTACCCCCTATCATTACGTTCTTCCTAGAAGAGAAGTAAAAGAAATGCTCATTTTGGCTAATGACCCATATAACATTCATGCTACAATGAGCATATCAGTTAACTGTGCGTTTCCAATCTACGAAGCTGCCAATGCGGATGCATACACCATTGGGAAGAGGTGCCCAGCAAGGAACAAAAAGCAAGGAACAAACAGTTGAATTGCTTCGTAGGATATTGTTTTAACGTCAAAGCAGTATAGCAATAAGACGATAGATCCATGTCCGACGATAAAAGAAGACACCCTAGGTTAACAAAATAGTAGTTATAAGAAGGATATAACGACGCTCACACTCCATCGTATCTAGTCCACCTTTAGTACTTTGCTATGTATTCGAGGCTTCGAGTTACATACTACATCGACTCATGTGTACTACAAATTGCGACTGTAACTATAGTTTTGATAAACGTTCCGCATCTGACCCAGCGAGAACCGCGAATCATTAAACAAGCTCAGAGATTGAAGCATGTTCTGCGATTATTGGTGACAATCCAGCATGTGCTGACAGATATAATGATTATGTAGGCGATCCCAGTAGATGTACCAAGCCAATCCCAAGCGACAAAACTACAATCCATTCAGCAATCGAGCCATCTCACTAGTTGAGAAGCCTCGGTGTATTATAAAAGAAAAACCCCGACCTTATTGACTAATAGGAGCCCATACATCCGTTTGAGTTGGTAATATAAGAGCGAGAAACAATCTCTGGACAGATGTTTTACCAGTATAAGATGCACTACGATGAAAGGAAGAACAGAGGTGAATTAGGGCTAGCACTGGGCCCGATATCGGTGAGAGAGTCACGCTCTGGCTTGCAGAGTCACCTCGTCCTTCCCTGTTGTTTTCATTGTTGTATTTATGGAGTAAAACTGCGGTTAGCAGCGGCCAACAAGCACGGAACCTTCCGCCCACTATTCTGTAGATCTATCGATGCGTACACTCTCCGATGTCGGCCCTGGTCTATTCTGATGTCACCCTGCTGATGTACTTATAAATGCTCTAGTAACTGGGGATAATCGTTCAATAAGCATCATTCATCCAGCTTTAGTTTCGTGGAAAGTGGCGCATAATGACTACACAGGAGCAGAAATCTGACATCTGGTCAGCCGATGTTTACGGCAACAAAGTGGCTCCATTCGTTGCTACCTTAACAGAGAAGATTGTTTCTTGGCTCGATCCGAAGTCTACTGGTAAGTCTCTTTGGAGGATGAAAAGGTTGTATTGGATTTTGAATTGCTAATGTACAACAGATGAAGTACTTGATATCGGCTGCGGGGATGGCGTCCTAACTGCCAAACTAGCCCCTCATGTTAAACGGATCGTTGGAGTCGACGCCTCGCCGAACATGTTAGAGCACTTCCAGAAAGCATACCCCGATATTGAATCCCGCGTTGTGGACTGCCGACACTTGGATCAAGTGTCCGATCTCACTGACGGGAAATTTGACAAAGTCTTCTCGAACGCCGCCTTACATTGGATCTTACGCGACCCCGAAACCCGGTCGAACACGATCAAGGGCTGCTTCAATGCGCTCAAGCCAGGTGGGCTTTTTGTGAGTGAATCGGGGGCGCTCGGTAACGTAGCCGAGGTGCATGCAGCGATCGTCAGTGCTCTGGTCATTCAAGGGATTCCTGTTGAAGAAGCTCGAGCAGCTTCGCCTTGGTGGTTCCCTTCCCAAGAAGCTATGAAACAGCTTCTTGAAGGGGAAGGCTTTCAGTGGGTCAAGGGTGAGGCAGAACTCAGACAAACGAAACTGACAGATCACAAAGAAGGCGGGATTGAAGGATGGTATATATCCCGAGCGTCTTAGGTTTTAACTAAATTGACCGCTAATCAAGTTACAGGATCCGCCTTTTCTGTGAGCCCTTCCTTCAGGTCTTACCGACTCTGGAGGCACGCAATGCAGCCGTCAAACATGCTGTTGATGTCCTCGAGGGTGTCGGAAGACATCAACACGATGGCTCCTTCACAGTCAATTACATTCGACTTCGGTTTGTAGCGCAGAAACCGTTTTAGAAAAGACGGTTCAGCCAAATAATAACATCTATTCCTTGGCCCTGGTCTGAGCTCTTCAGTATACCTGAAGTGGCCTCCAGGGCGATCGCCAATGACCTATTGTGAGGTCACGCTAAAACCCGAATAAGCACATAGATGATCAATGCCGCAACCTAAATTTTAAACAATTCAGCGTGTGCTCAATGGTAGAAGATTATTCAGCGAATGTATATTTCAATTCCAGGCAGTAGCATTGCAAACAAACTACCAAACTATAAACATAGCATCAGACCCACCCCGGCCCAATTAGCGCGAATTTCGGATGAGGTCACTGGAACTCGGCTAGCCTGCCGGGGAAGTCAAAGCTTATAACGACCAGTCAATTCCCTTCAATTATTACCACAAACAAACATAGCTCCTATAACAACTTCTACTATACACAACGAATTCATCCATTAACAATGGCATCCACCCCACCATCATCTGCCACGGCACTGGCATCCAAACCAACACCAAGCATCTCAGCCTCAGACGCAGTGTTGCATATCGAGAGCGCCACGTCGATCGCAGCCCCCTGCCAAGATGTCTGGGATGTTCTAATCGATACTTCCACCTGGCCCTCGTGGAATACATTCGTTCCGCGAGTCACCATTCGCGAACAGCCGGGGTCCGACTCTGAATCTACTCCAGATGATCTTACCCCGAAGCTACAGATGGGGACGAAAATGACCTTCCATGTCCATATGGATCCATCGTCCACCAGTGAGCAAGATGTGGGGCTCGTCGTGACTGAATTTGAGCCCCCGAGTGCCAATCCCCCTAAGCCTGGACGGATTGTCTGGGTTGCGGATCTGACGGCTAACGGGAGCCTGCCGGCATTCCTTTTGACGGCGGAGAGGGTTCATGAGGTTGAGGAGTTTGATGTCCAGGGGGAAGATGGGCAGGCGAAGCGTGTCACGGAGGTGCGGAATTGGGAGGCGCAGGTTGGGTATCTTGTATACGTGGTTCGGTGGATGTTTGGGGCACAGTTGAAGAAGAACTTTGAGGCGTGGGTACAGGATTTGAAACAGTATGTTGAAGGAAAGAAAACGGACAGTTAGGTCGTGATTGTTTCTTGATACCCAGTTATTGTATTAACTAGCTTTCTCTGTGTTCCGTGGCATCGAGTTTTACATGGAGTGAATGGAACCTTCACAGGTCGGTGCTAAATAGTCTCTTGGTTTTGGGATATTATCATGGTAGCATCAAAGACATGTTCTAATATACCATGTATTGGAAATCAATGTACAGAGATGAATGAGTATGACTTAACAGAATATACCACCACAGACCAGCCACTCCTCTACTATTCATTTGAGAGGACAGTCAGCTAACACTATGGCCTTACGGTCGAAAGCTTCAATGCCTACTACAATAAAACTGGGGGTGTTTGATCCATAAACTTAAAGGCACCGAAAGAGGTGAAATATGATCACACGGCGACATTAAAGATCAGGAACCAAAACACGCCCGAACCAGCTGCAAGAAATATAAAGGAACATCTCCACTGAGCAAGCCTCCAGATCGAGAGAGAAGCCGTCAACACTCGATTTGGTAAGTGACCGAGAATATACAGCATCATTTCCTAGTTATAAGGCTAGAAAACTATCATGGACAAGAAAGGCCTCCCATTGGTCAACGTAAACAGCATGAGGTGTGAAGAACTACTAGTATGAGAGTAAGGAGGTCATCACCCGCCTTGCTGCGTTCTGCATATACATATACTTTTTCGAGCCAGATGCAAATTGCACAGGCAACAAATGATAATCTAGATGCGCAAAAGGCTGGAAGAGTTCTATTATATTCTCCATGGCTTGCCAATACTTGAATTTAGTTTCTAGATCGAACCGCTGCTAAGACCTTTGGTGGTAGTAGATGAGGTAGAAAGTTTAGCATATATATGAGAATATTCTACTAGTGGTTAGAAGGGACTATAGGGATAGAGTCGATTATTGTCAGCTAAATCTATGTTTACACCATTCCATTCGCCCCGATTTGAATTCGATTCGCATCGGCTTTAGTTTTACTATGTTATGGTGATAGTTACCCTGTACCTTTATCTGCATAGAAATTGCATGTTTGGATTGCTATACAACACTCTCGTAGACGTGTCGGGCGCCATCCGAAAGAGGTCTAAAAGAAAACATTGAATAGTGGGATTGACAAATACGTAAGTATACCAAAAAAAAAGTTCAGATCAATTATCAAAAATAAAAATTCACATGGGAAATCCATAGATAGTTTGGGAAGTGGAATGATTGTATCGGCGAGAGATATAATGCTGCCTAATAAGATACATTCCATGATTCGCTTATTAGTAAAGTCTCACTAGAGCGAAAGCACCAGACCACTAAGGGGAAGAAGGTCCCCAAGCATGACGCATGAGGCTATTGAATGACTGGAGATGATGTCGGTTACGTCATGTTATCGACTCCGGGGATGCCTGAGAAGACCAGGGTCCAGCTCACTGCGGAACATTGATACGTACCCCACGTATACATACTACTAACCAGTTGTAGTACTTGGTAAGTTATAGAGCAATGGCCTCTGCTGGATTGGCCAATCCTTTGCTCCCTTACATTGCTTTCAAATAGATCCCCTCCCCGCAGTTCCGGTAACTTTGTACTCGGGATACTTGCTACTATAAGTACAATTGATAGATTGGAAAGAAAAATCCCAAGATGGACCGGTGGGGCGTACTATTGAGAGTGCAATTTCCCTGGCAGATGAAGACCCACGTGGGGGTGGAGATTGGCTGAGAACACCTGCACTGGTGTTACGGTTTCATACAATTTCTATACCACCACAGGATTCCCATCCATCCCCGGGACAATGGGTATTCTTCCGGAGTCAGAACTCTTCCGTTTCGATAGATTGCTGTCCAAGAGCAGGATCAAACCGGAAATGAAGGAATATGTGCATGGATAATCTGCAGGCAACAAGGTAGTAGGGAATACATTGGCGCTGACATTATTCGCGCGCAGCACATGAGGGCAGGGAATTCCCGGCATGCATGGACCAGGGTGTGTATGTATCAGTTTTCAAGATAAGATCAAATAAAAAAAAGAAAAAAAAATAGAGAAGAGGGGCGCTCATTTCTGATGGGGTCACCTGACTGCATGCCACGTAATCGGGCCCTTTTCGTCCGCTTCTCTCCGCTGACTCGGCCATTCGATCGAATTTTCTAGTTTACCCATCAAAATTCCGAAAATCAGGGCCTTCACCGAAGAGTAGAAATTGTGACGTTCAGTCCCCGACGGAGCGGCGTCAATATTAATTAAGGGCGGAGATGAAATGCAAGAGATGCGATAGGATGATACGAGGATCCACCGGTTTTACTAAATCCGGGCAGCCGAATAGTTCGTGCAGGAGACTAACGCTTAGTTTGGCATAGTGTCCGTGATGGAAGCTGCAGGACTTCCCGGAAGAGTTTGGTGGCACGCTCGGGGGCCGTTACACTTATGTATGGCATTGAAATTTGATACCAACCTTGAACACAACAAAGATGAAAGGAGACTCACCGGAGAGACTGCGTGAAAGGGATGCCTGGAATCTGGGAACCGCAAACTATCATGAGATTGAGATCCCCGAGGGGTGGTGCCATTGTCACTCCCAGGATTAGTATTACTCTTGCGAAGTACTAGAAAGGATCTCACGATCTCTGAATCAGTTAGCGCTGTCAAAAAGCAACAGTGAAGAACCATGTGGGGAGTAGGAAATGATCAGCAGGCTGTATGTCACTGTAACCTACAACAGTCGCAGTTGTTACCCTGTTTCATCCACCATAACAATTTTAAGCTATCTGTCGATCGCCCACTTTTTTTTTTATTGTTATTTTGATTTTGTTCTGTTGGTTTCTTTGAGGGTTTTTAACCTTGAAATAAATAAATCAATAAAATCCGTTGGGGTCCAGACTAAACCAGTCATTCCTTTTTCTACTCCTTGTTCCCCTCTTTCTAGATATTCTTGTTGATTTCTTTTTTTCCTCCTTCTCTTATCTTTAATTTCTAATCAACTACTATGCTATCATTGCGTTATCTTTATCTGACACTATACATTACCTCGCATTCCAGTAATCTCTGACCAGTGCTTGACTCATTCATTCCTCCGAACCAATCTTTGGTTCCGGACGTTACCCGTACGCAGTGTTGCCACCGGCCTTTATATACCAGGCGCTGTCCACTGCCTTATTTGACTTCTCTATCATCTCTGATCTAGTCACTGGCTTACACACAGATCTATTCTATATATACCCAATCTTCAAGTCGGTATCTATTAAGAGTCAACTGAAAGCAAAACGTGACTTGATTTGGCGTCCATTTGATCCATACCCTCTCTTTTCTTTCTCCTTATACCTTGCACCTGACATAGGGTGCTTGGTTACTGTACTGGGAACACCCTCTACCGACCCCGGATATTTTCAAAATGGCTGCGCACATTCCTATACGACTATCGATTCGCACCGAAAATCACAATGACAAGGCTCTACCCATGCCACCACTAACAGTGGTGCCGGGACTGACTCCTCCAGTCACCCCTACTAAGGGCGACGAAAATTACTCAAGCGGTACGAGGACAGGCGGATCAAGTCGTTCAAGCTCCTTTGTATCTGAAGGAGAAAAACCAAGAGATCTCTTTGGGGACGATGTGCGCCCCTCGAGCCCTCTTCAATATTCTGATGAGCTAGAGTTTCAATATGACCCGAAAGGTCGCCCAATTGAGTTCGGTCGTGGTGTTTGGAGTGTCGTCTACAAAGCTTCGTCTCGCCCCGGTTCAAGATCACCTCTGATGACCCCTCCTAGTTCACCTGCGGGTGGAGGTCGGGTGGTAGCGGTCAAGTCTCCTGTGCGACGAGATGCACACGCCGTGCTTGATGCCGAAGCGGTAGCATTAACTCGAATTAGTCGAATGCCGGGTTCGGAGCGTCATATCATCCCTTTCCATGGATACATCTCCGAATCACACGCCATAGTCATGTCGGCTGTGCCCCTCTCTCTTTCATCATACATCGAAGAAAAGGCCGATCTGGCCCAGAAACACAAGTCCACTCGGACCATGTTCGATCCTGTGCAAGGTATGGCTCAGTGGCAAGAGCTTGCAAAGAAGCTCATCACCGGTTTGCACTGGCTTCACGCGCAGTGCCAAATAGTGCACGGGGATATCAAACCGCATAACATCTTGTTGAGATCACGACCGACTAGCAACGATATAGAATCCGACGAATTCCCGTTTGAACCGCTTTTCGCTGATTTTTCATCCGCACATGACATCGCCGGTTCTTCGCTGTCCGCAGAGAAAGAAACAGGAACGTCATTAACGGCTTTGACACCACCTTTCGCCGCCCCGGAGTTGTTATCTGTATCATCTTTGACTTCTCCGGGCACCAGCCCCACTCCCGCATCCGATGTGTTTTCGCTGGCGGTCACCCTCCTCGCAGCGGCAACAGGCGATTTGCTGCTTTATCCTGGCACCAGCAACATGCAGCGCCTCGCCATGGCTCGTGAAGGTCATCGGGTCATTGACTTTGCTCGATCGGGTCCGAATGGTTCCCGAGTTCCCCGTAACGGACCTGTCGAGCAGGTGGTCAAGCCTGCCGTTTCGAAGGACCCATCGCAACGTATTCAACCCAATGAATGGGTAGAACTAATCGCTGCCATGGCCTAAAGTCTCACGCCGAAAGGTTCACTATTCTCGATTCAGTTCTTTTCGAAGACTTCTTCTACATCTACCTTTTCCACTCTTATATATCTTTCGATTTCTACCACATTATATGAACCAACTGAGTTCTTTTCGTTCGTTTCTTCTTTTTATTCTTTTTTCAATTATATTTTCTTTTTTCTTTTTTTCCCTTCAACGTGTTTCAACATCTTACCGTTCCCATACTGTTATTTTCTCTTTCTTTTCTCACAATATACTACTAAATGATACCCTATTTGACTGTCATGTGTCGACGTGTGGATGTTCAGCATATATTTCGTTCTAGACCATCTCAATATCAAAGAGAACCTGTTTCTGGAAAACGCTCAATTGCTTTCACTTCTTGTCATGTATTAGAATATCAATTGGAACTTTTTAGCCCCACAAACCTTACATGGGATGATAATACAAGACTCGTAAATAAAACATTGGACTATGTCAAAAATGTAAGATTTCCACATCTCGATAGTCTATCAAAAGTGATTATATAGGCGGATATGTCTATAGATCGTAACCGTTATACAGTATAATACAAGATAAACAGCTCATAAAGCATAGCATACATCCCGGAGATTTGGGTATAAAGTCCTCCCCGCACGGAGCGGCAAAGGGAGGTGGTAGGTAGAGTAGAGTGAGTAGAATGGATGTCGGTGAGGTTTCCTGCGCAAGTACAGAATAAGACATGCTAATGGTATCTTTTCCGAAGTTCCAGATCTCCAGTCCGGAAGGACGTCAACGTCCCACCGAGTAGTCGACTTAGTTGCACCGTGGAGAGGCTCGTGTTGCCCTTCTTCTGGTACTCGATGAAGATATCCCACAGTGTACTGGTCGACAGAGTACGAACTCGTACGTCACTTAGGTCGTAGTCCAGGTTCTCCTGGTAGCATGCGACGGGGTCAAGGGGTTCGCGGGTCTCGGGCGAACCATGGCTGGTCTTGGGCAGATTATCGAAATCCGGCTTGGGGGTTTTGGTTGCGAAGACCGCTAGGCCTGGGATGGACTTGACGATGTCGTTGATAGGCCGTCCAGGGAAGACCAGTTCCAGAAACTCGGCTACTGTCATTAAGTTACGGGTGCCGATGGTGAGAGAGAGGGCTTCGAAGAGGCGAAGAGGGGCATCCCTTTGCGACGGATCTAAGTGGTTGAGTTTCTGCACGGCTACGGGGTTTGGGTCGGCTTCAAAGTAGAGGATGCTTCTCTCGGTTTCTCGGGGATAGAGCTCTTCTGGCGTGATGAGCAATGGTTCGAACGGGCGGCGGTCCCAGTGGAGAATTGCATCGTCGAAGTTTCCGGTTTGCAGAGCTCCCCGCTTGTTATCAACAACGGCGGGAACTTCCTTAAGTACTTCGTAGTGTACTTCCGACGATATCTGATCCAAGGTAGTCCTGGCGGCCTCAATCTTATCTAAAATGGGCCCCAGTGCGGCCGAACTCTCGCGGGGATTTGCAGCCGTCCGGGACAAGGTGTTGGTTAGTTCGTCGATTTCAGCGATGGCTGTAGCCTGACACTGGCGGGTGTACACGTCGCGATTCTCTTTGTTCAGTTGGGTTAGGCCTCGTCTTTGCGTCGGACTCCGTTTGCCTTCCTTTCCAGGCGTATCGGTAGTGATCTTCTTCCAAACTTTCTCATGCCATTCCGTATATGCGCGCGGCACGTAAGGCACGGGTATCGTGCCCTGGTCAGGACTTTCTGGGGCCAAGGGGATGGGTGGTATTTCTCTGCCGGGAGGGGTGGGAACTCCCTGCTCTGCTGCTCTCTGAGCAACCCGCGAGGTATTGGCCGCCACTAAATCCCACCCCTTGAGTGTAGCCCATGCGCTGGGATCTCTTGGAGCCGCGACTTCAAATGCATGCAATGCAACGTTTTCTGTCAAAATTGCCGGTCGTTTACGCTCTATGATGGTCCGCGGAATGACCTGTTGTGCATCCGATATGGGGAGTGATGCGATCATACGCACGCTTCCATAGGCATGTAACCCCGTCTGGTGCATGCAGGCCTCCATAAAAACCGACCACCAGCGTGCTGGGGTATAGTGATCCTTTTTGGAGGCAACGGGAGGCGGGTTGGCTAAGATAAGGAGGGTATCGTTCTTGGGCAAAATGCCACTGTCGTCACGGTTCGATGGCCCTTGATCCGGGAAATGCTTCGATAGTATACTTTGCCAATCCGCAATCGCATGGATATCCGCCGACAGTAGTTCATAGCTGGGGTTGCTCTCTGTCAACGGCAGAAGCAATGGCTTGTATAACCTCAACTCGGGCTCGATAAGGACATGTCGGCGGGGTTTGAGAAGTTCATTGATCTTCGATGACCATAGTCCAGCGCCGGGCCATAGGTCGAGAATGTCCACGGCAGGGTTGCGAAGGAGGAACGGCGATAGACGGTTAAGTACATCGTCTGTTTAAGAGACTCGACGCATCAGAGTCTCCTTCTATATTATAATTGTCTTGAGGAGTAGCTCACCGCATAGTTTTTCACTTGCTATTTCTGCCTTCCGAATCGACTTTCTCTTTGCGGTCAATGGGAAGCACTTATAAAGCGCCTCTGTTAAGGGCAAATGAGGTACGGGCGTCCACCGATTGAGTCTCATCTTAAAGTACAAGTCAGGGATGTCGTATGATACCCACACCGACTCTCCATCATTGGTTTGTAGAGTGCTTGTCCTCTAGTTAATCGTAAAGGGAAAAGTTGAGGAAGCTTTTAAGAACCGCGGCGGCGGGAACGGAGACCAAAGAGGAAAGGACCCGCAGTTTATTTTTCTGAAATTTATTTAATAAATTCAATGAGCTCAAAATAACTCAACCATCACCTGTTGTTTCATTGTTTCGATTCGGTCACAGCCTGTTCGGATCATGTTTCGGTCACCTGGATCTGCTGTGCTTACAGCACCGGTTTCATTTTAAGCAATTAATTATTATCCGACAGATTATATCAGTCCTGGTCTTGCCATATACCTTCCCCAAGGTTTTCACAGAGTCCGGCTGCCTGCTCCGTCGATGCGGAACGTCCCCACACGCCGTCTCTTGGGCTTTGGCGGCAGACCTCGATGATCCCTCGTTTCACCTTACGATCAAACGAGTCGCTTGAAAACCGGCTATATTGTGTTACTGGAACTTCTACTACTGATTTCCCTCCCGTTTTCTCAGTTCGTATGCGCAATCATGGCCTCGCATATGCCTCCGGCCACAGGCGCGGGGGCCTCAGCCCCTCGAAAGGTCGAGGAAATCACTCGAATGGCGCAGAACTATGATTACAACCCCTCGATTCCTCTACGGTATTGGCTAAGGACCGCAGCGACTTTACTGCGAGAGGTCAGTTTGATGCCATTTGCTTTGTTGTTACTCAGAGGGCTAACGAGCAGTTCCCTTTGCAGGCTCGTATATACGAACGAGAGGGGCACGATGAACAAGCGTACTTCCTATTATTTCGCCATGCTCAGTTGGTGCTCGTAAACCTGGCAAAGCATTCGGAAGCCAAAGATGAGCAGAATCGGAAAGGTCTGATGGAAGCGGAGAAGGAAGTCAGCAGAAATCTCGAAAAGTTGGAAATCCTCAGACCTCGAATCAATAAACGACATAAACGCTATACAGAGTTGATGAATGATCGCCAAGCTCGAAGCCCACCTCTAGGAATGAACCAGACCGTGCCGAACCAGCAGCAGCCTCAGGATCCCGCATTAGTAGGTGTTGCCGAGCCTCTAGAGGCTGGCGAGAACCGAGACCTGGCTGTCAAATTAGCGAGGACGGAAATACACCGGAGGGCCACAGCCAGGAAAGCTGTACGCCAAGCTGGGATAACACCCGAAGAGGAGCAGCGTCGGCGCACGGCAGGTATCTGGGGTGACTGGGAGAACGCTCTGGACAAGAATGGCCCAGAGACAGACAATGACTTGAGTCGACGGATTCAAAATGTGAGGATCAACATAGACCATGCGCACGATGCGGACCGTCAAAAGAAGGGAACAGAATCCACAGCGCGGCCGTTGACTACAGGATCCTCTACGTCCACATATAAGTATCCAACAGTGCCTCGTCAGAAGGCGCTAGACATTGCGCCCTCCGTGACCAAAGAAACGAGAGATGCGACGATGTCCTTCCCAGCAGCTCCGGTGCGGCCTCCAAAAGAACTATTTGAGCCTCTCCAGCCGGTGGTCTTATCGCCGCCACCAAGACCGGACAAGATCTCCCCTACACCCCTGACGTCCGCAGCTCAAACACAAGCTCCGGCTCCTCCAGCGAAAGTCAAGCCAGTCGCGGATGGTGGGGATGGCCGGTCAAACCTAGACCCATCTAGTTTCACCTTCAAACCATCCGCCTACCTGGAGAATGGCACCCCTCTCCGGACGGTTTTCCTACCCCCAGAGTTGCGATCAACGTTCCTTTCGCTGGCCGCTTCGAACACGCGACGCAACCTGGAGACATGTGGTATACTTTGTGGGACCTTAATATCCAACGCTCTATTCATCTCCCGGCTTCTCATCCCCGAGCAAACCTCCACCTCGGACACTTGTGAAACGGTGAACGAGACTGCCATATTTGAATACTGCGACTCGGAGGATTTAATGATCCTTGGCTGGATCCATACCCACCCGACCCAAACTTGCTTTATGAGCTCGAGAGATCTGCATACTCATTCTGGGTACCAGGTGATGCTTCCCGAGAGCATTGCGATCGTCTGCGCTCCGAGCAAAACGCCGGACTGGGGCGTTTTCCGATTGACTGACCCACCTGGCCTCAAGACGGTCCTCAACTGTACGCAGCCCGGTTTGTTTCACCCACACGCCGAGACCAACACCTATACCGATGCGCTACGACCTGGGCATGTGTTCGAAGCCAAGGGGCTTGAATTCGAGACGGTGGATCTGCGCCCTAACGGATCCTGAATCTACCGATGGCTGCCATTTCACGATTTATGAGAGCGTACTACTATTCCACTTTCTAGAAAGTCCTCATTCTATGTTTGTTGTTGTCGGATATCCCATCTCTTGCTCCGTTTACAAATAAAATCTCTGGGGCGCTATGTGTGCAGTATAGATAGCTTCTGATGTAGTACTACGAAAGATTCAGTTAGGATGAATTAAGCGTGACACGCTAGGGAATGAGGACGAACGAATTGTCCTGTAGGATTGACAGTAAGAGAAAATCCAGAAATTCAATTAAATTCAATATTAAATCCATGTCCCGCTGCCCTATGAGGCTTGTGATCACCCCACCCGTGACCCGAAAAAGGAACTAAACTCAAAAGATAATTTATTTGTTATCATGATCGACTCGTTGCTTGTCTCTTCACCTCTCCATCACTTTCGCTCGTCCACCGCCTTCTGTAGCTCGGTTGTAGCCAATTGAATGACTTGAAGATTTTCGTTCCCTGGATCCGTGAGCTCCTCCTCCTCCTCCTCCTCCTCCTCCATCGTCGTCCCCTCCTTCCCGTCCCCGCTGCACGTATGTCGTCAACCGAGCTTCCTTCCTCCGCCTCTAGCTCGAGATCCGCATCTCGCTCTCGACAATCGAACTCTCAGATTCATCAATCAGCTGCATCCTACTTCTCCTACCCCGTCACACATGTCGTATCAGGCCTCTACCGTCGTCTGACCGATCCACCGGCCTCGAAACCCAAGAACAACATGAACCGCAATCAACACTCGATGACCTCCCCAAACGGCTCCACCGCATCATCCCAGATCTTTACCCCTGTTCGAACCGCATCACCATTCCAACCCCCACCGCTCACCCCCCTCACCCTCACCGGCGACCTCTCCAACCTCCAAGAACAGCTCCTAACTCGTGCCCTGGCCGAGGAAATCCGGCTGCTAGTCCCAGCCCGCTTGCAACTCGTCGACACCTGGCGTCTAGCCTATAGCCTGGACCGGGACGGTGCCTCGCTCGCCACCCTCTATGAAAACTGTCGAGAAATGTCTCACCGCAGCCCGCGGGCGGGCTACGTCCTCATCGTCCGCGACGCCTCTCCGTCCGGCGCCGTGTTCGGAGCTTACATGACCGACCCCCCGCATCCAGATTCTCATTATTACGGTACGGGTGAATGCTTCCTCTGGCGCGCGAGCGTTCTCGCTCCTCCCACGAACCTGAACCTGCCCCGCGACGGGCCCCCATCGGAGGCCATGCTCGAACTCGCCGGTCTGCCACCCCCGCCTAGCGCTGATACCACACATGCTGGTCGATCCACGACTCTACGGGCGAGAGATGCTAAGCTGGCTCCTCCGCCCACGAGTGGACTTCCTAGCGGTGCTAGTACTCCTGAGAGGATCCGATTTAAGGCCTTCCCTTACAGCGGCGTGAATGATTATATGATGTTCTGTGAAACGGGATTTCTTAGTTTGGGCGGAGGGTAAGCTCTTTTCTTTTGAATATCTGGCAGCGACTGAATATGATAACTAACAACGAAGTAGAGATGGTCATTATGGTCTGTGGATTGACTCGAGTCTTGAAAAAGGTGTAAGTGCCGGGTGCCAGACATTCGGCAACGAACCCTTGTCAGATGAGGGCGTCAAGTTCGATATCCTGAGCGTCGAAGTATGGTATGTTGGTGCCTGAAGGTTGGTTGAGTATCCTAGGATGTAATGCAGGTGGAGAATCTTGGTAGATTGTGGTGTGCATTGCTTAGTACGTCGGTCAGCCGGTCTTTGTCGAGTCGTTTGGACATATCTATTTACTTATAATACCCTTGCACGGTGTGGCTGGTCTCATCGTGTTATGCACCGCTGTTGAATCTTACATAGTTTCCAAAATGATAGGAAAGAGAAAAGTTTCTCCTACTTCATGAACGATACATACTTCACACAGGTAGAGTTGGTCGTCGATCTGCGGATAGATATAGAACTCGTTACTGGAGAAATGTCATCCGAAATTCATAATTCGTGCTCAAGTATTACTAGAGATTTATCTAGAGAAACACCACGGTTCAACCTCACCATTGCCATCTCATTCGTAAGCTGCCATATCGCCGTCAGGAAAAAGATCATCCATAGCGTATCGTACGGGAAATTGCACGAGTACATCATGGAAGCGGTGCAAGAACACAAGGGTCTAAGGATTATTAAAAGAAAAAGAGAGAAAAAAAGCAAAAGGAAGACAAAAGGGGGTATGCAGTGTACAAGAAAAGAGAAACCGAAGCAATGAAATCAGTCAAGGTCACTTGACTAGAGAACGGGTCAGGACGTTTAATATGGCGAGTTGACGATATCATCTCGTCCCAACCGGCTGCCCCACCGAGTGCTCCGACGGCTTGGGGTGACCGGGGGGCCTGCAATGCTTTCACGAGTGGGCTTTTGGAGAGCTCTTTTGGCAACCATGTTGACCTCGTTCGGCAAAGCGACAATGACATTTTTGTCAGAACCAAATCGGAAGTTGTCCGCCATAACCTCTTCAGAGTACCGCTTGATCGTATAGGGATCCTTGCGTCCAGCAAGCACCTTCTTCATGCTCCATGTGACGATGAAAGGACCTGTTGCCGTAATAATCGACGTCTCTTGTGAGTCAACACCAGTATTGAAACGAGCTGGGGTGAACGCGAGAGGCTTCTTGGTTTCGTGCTGGAACTGTGCGACATGGGCTGGCTGGAGACCAAGACGACGAGGTTGAGGCTTAGAGTCTTTGCCAAATGAACGTTCGAAGCCAAGCTTGCCTTCGTTCTTGCCTTCCTTCTGCAGCGAGTCAATGAGAAGAAGGTAGGTACGGCATGTAGCCAGAACCCAGCGGCCATCGGCGGACACATCTAGACCAATGATAGGTTCACCCAGTGCAGGAATATGAGTCTTGGCGTTGATTCCCAGGCGGTCGAACATGCGAATATCTCCCTTGTTCGAAGCGACTGCGATGTATCCCTTTTCGGTCGTGGCTACGGACGAGAAGTCGTTCTTGCTGGCATACTGCTTCAAATCTGCATCGACAAGTTTGCTGCCCGCCAGACGGGGATCAATCCGGTACAGCGCATTCTGAGATGCTCCGACGAAGGTTTGCGCATTGGTCATTTGGGAGAATTTCTGAGACAGTCAGAAAGGTTTCAGGTATAAACACTTGGTGATTGTTAGACTTACGGTTTCTGGTGCAAATGTGCTGACAGGAATATCATCATGAACCTTCCACTCATCGACAATCTTACCATATTCCAGGTCCATGCGATAAAGAGAGTTAGGGTCATCACCATTTTGAAGGATCATGTTGGAATCCTCGGCATGCAACATAACCTTCTTGGGGCTAAACAGCTTGCCGTTTGGTGTCTCCACCTTAGAGATGTTGGTGGAGAACTCGAGGTTGTTGTCTGCCGTGTGTTTGAAGACACCGATCTTGGAACCACGGACTACAAACGACCTATCATGCTTGTAACCCACCGCAAGTTGTGAGTTGACGTTACCGTCATCGTCGTGTGTAACCACATCATCCTCCTCTTCATCACTGTCATAATGTTCGCTCCGTTGACCGTCATACTGATCTTCTTCATCTTCTTCCTCCTCTTCTTCCTCTTCCTGGTTGTCGGCTGCATCCTCCATGGTAAGGTCTTGGAACGCATCCAAAACGTACTCCCGGTCATCCTCTTTTACCTTGACCCATTTCATTTCGTTTAGCTGTTCCCAAAGCGCCTGCATCAGACCCTCCTGGAAGCGTTCCTCAGTTTCTTGGTCCTTGAATCGTAGGAGCCAAGAGTATGCGGAGCCATCCTCAGCGTAGTGGTTAAATATAAAGGAAAGATATTCAAAGTTAAAGACTGGGTTGATATCCGCGACAACCGCTTGTCCTAGCCATTCCTTCTCACTACCACTGATTTGAAGCCAATACTCCCAGTTACCGATCTCAGACACAGTGGCAGTCACATCGGCGTCTTGAATAACGAACGTTCCACTTGGGAAGTCGAACATATGCAGTTCAGCCTTTTCCTTGGCAAGAACTTCCTTAGCTTCGGGTTGCTCTGCCGATGGTGGTGCTACAGTGGGCTCATCTCCGTTATCAGCTGGCTTGATCTGTCCCTTGGACTTCTGATATTCAACATCCTTAGCCATCGCAGCGGCCGAATCTCCAGAAGTAAGCGAGTGAGCACGAGACTTGGTTGGTGATGCGATGGGGCTCGCGGAGGGGATGGGCTTCTCCTCTTGATACGAGAACTGTTGAAGATCCTGCTCGGTTGCCTTTTGTGAGCTTTGTCGGTATTTCCGCTCGTACTGGCACTGGAAGGCAGCCAACTCAAAAGTAGGGATCTTATCCGACGGCACAGACGGGTCACAAACGAATTCGTATAGATCACCGATATCACCGCTCAGGTCTCTCCAGGCCAGAACCTTAGCACCCCCTTCACGGATTTCAGTACGGAAGTGCAAAGCTTCGTCAAGAAGAAAGATCTTCTCGTCCTTGTCGAGGTTATCGGCACCACCTTGTTCGTCTTCGTCGGCGCTTAGTTCTTCCTCACCCTCCTCGTAGGCTCTCTGGATAACAAGTTGATATTGATACTCCTGTCCGGTACGCCGAATCGACGCGGCCGCGTCCTTGAAGATAAGTTCCGAGTACCCTTTGGGTGACAGAGGCCGGACTAGATAAAGCTCGCCCTGAGGGATCTCGATGATAGACTCCTTGGAAGTATCCCCGAAGAGGAACTTGCTCACTAGAAGCCGAGATATAACGCGTTAGTGTTTGGTAGTGAGGTCAAGGGAAAATCAAATCACAGGGAGGTAGTACAGCGATGGAGGGGTGGGATGGCGGGGTAGTAGGGATTAGAGATGAAAAGAGGGGCAGATAAAGGGAAAGTGGAGGGAGAAGTAAGCTCATACCATTGCGGATCATAAACATGGCTGCGATTTCTGGCTGTCTGAGCAACAGCGGCTGTTTACTCCACGTGTCGAAATGAACAGGGTTCGGGCGGAAAAGGAAGATGAGAAGTGGTGGAGAAGGAAGAGCACGACTACAAAGGGAAAAGAAGAGAAAGAAAAGAGGAGATAATATCAAGAGAAGAGGACCATCACCAAGATGATGACGATACAAATGACGGTACAGTGATATTCACTGAAGCAAGGGAGACTCTCTGATCCCGAGCACTCCTTGTCTTGTGCGGTAAAAAGTGAGGGAAAAGTTGTTGTTTGTGTTGATCTTCCGTCATCGATCGTCAGTGGCAACCGCTGTGGCGCTGTGGCGTTACTGCCATGTGGCTGAAACGTGCTCGCATAGTCACGTGTTTGTATGGATAGCATTGTATACTAGTAGTGGTATGTATGAGCAGAACGTCAAGATTTTAAATATTTACATTTATTAGAGTTTCTTTCATCTATATGGTATCAAGAATTGGCACTAGGAGCAGCAGCCTCATCATTCTTTTCGGCAGGTTCCGGTTCTTCATCCGAGTCACCATCGGCAACATCGCCTTCCTGTGATGGATCTTCAGAGCCTCGCCCAGAGTTCTTCAGTGTACCACCCTTTCTCTGAGGAATAACTTTCATGAAAGCTTCACCCCAATCTCCAAGTTCCAACCATCGGACCATGATCTCCATAACGTGGTTGGTCGCCAATACTTGGCGCGAGGCCATTTGAATGTAATCCCCAATAGGCAATTTTGCAGTCCTGATTCCCTTTTCCACTGCCGTTTTGTAGCAAATTGCTTTATGGCGGTTCTTGTCCACCAGCCCACCTATGATGTATGTACTGTATGGCTTTAATTCTGTCAGCGTGTTTGGGCTGTCGCTGCTGAGGTACACAATTTCTCCGTCTTCAGGGGCTGCGTCCGTCTTGTTAGCAAACATGCCTGCCAACTGACCTCCCTTAGGCCCCTTCATCCATTCCTTGGCCTGTTCTGCAGCATGTGCGAAGTCCTCTTCCATAAAACGGATACCCTGCCAATTATTATATGACTTTGCGAGAGTTGTGTCGAAACGCTCCTTGAGCAATTTATTAAAGGAGGAAACCACCATATGAGCACGGTATGGCGCTCCCCTATTATCGGAGTAAGAGCGTGTAAGCTGTGATGAAAGGGAAATCCGTTCCTTTTCAAGCATCAAGTCATCGTAGCCACAGTCAACGACGAGAGTGATCGGCAGCAAAGTCGATTGCTTGAACTTCTGCCGATTTGGTAGCCAGGTCTGGAGAAGCTGGTCTACTGCTTCTTGGCCACCTTCCTGTCTTGCTTCGTTCAATGCCTCGCGTCTTCGTTGTTTCTTTGCGGCCGTTTTTTCTTTTCGGATGGCCTTGCGCTGGTTCTTCTGGGCATCCCACTGTTCTCTGCGACGGAGTCTTTTCAATTGTCTCTTTGATACTTTGGGCGCATCATCTTTATTTTCATTCACGGCTTGCTGTCCGTCCTTGGACTCATCATTGGCATTATGCGCTACTGTAGCGACATCGTTCTGCGTAGTGGGCTGCGCGACGTCCTCGTGGGGAATGGATTCCACAGCTCCAGTCATTGTAGGCTCCAAGTCCTCCTGGCCCTCGTCATTGCTCAATTTTGGGTATTTTCTTGGTCTTTCCTCATCCTCCATTGTGCTATATCAACGTCAAACCGAATAAATATCTGCGCGGTGAATCGTAATTTCTCAAAACCAAAGAGAAATCCAAGCTCCGACCCTCCGGGAACAAGCACCAAAAAATCCCCAGCAACCAATGAGCGGCACCGCAGCCCGCATTACCAAACCAAAGCCGTACCACGTGACCACCACTCCAACTTCGTCGAGCATCATCGGCGGAACTTCCCTACGGATACCCCAAGACTACATTGAAGGCTGCTGTGTCCGTCAGTCGTCAAAATGCCTCAGGATATGCCCCCCGTTGGGGGCTACGGGCCAGTGCAGTACAAGGTATGCGCACAATGTTCTGTTTCCCACCGTTGGGTGTTTCAATTGCCCTGGAATCATGGGCCCATGGTCTACTTGAATCGCCTCGCCTATCACGTTCCATTGCCTCGATGAAACTGCCTCAATAATGCTATGACTAACATGCTCGATAGCGTAACATCCCCGCCCGTGGTTTCCGCCCCATCACCTACCTCGTCGGTATGCACCTTTTAATGGGCTACGGCTACTACAAGCTATTCCACGGTATCCGCGAACAAAAGTACGTAACCCGCCGCTTTTCCCCGGATCGAACGCAAAAAAAAGCACAATGGCTGATTGCAATTGACTTGAATAGTGAACTTGCCCGCGAAAAGGTCTGGGGCCGTCTCCACATCCTCCCTCTCCTCCAGGCCGAAGAGGACCGCGACCAGGTCCGTCGTCACTTCGCCGACAAGGCCCGCGAGAAGGAGCTCTTGGGCTCTGAGTCCAAGGTCTACAACACTGAGCGGTATGTTCTTCCCTCTACTTCGCTTTAGTGGTGCAAGTACTTATCCCTGACTTCTGCAGCTTCGTCCGCCCTACCTTCGTATACACACCCACTAAGGTCACTCAATAAGCGATTGCAATTGTCATGTGTTCGGATTCGTTTATGTTAACTATGCATGCTTAAGTGAGCACCTCGGTGGGCGGGCCCTGGTTTATGGTTACAACACAATTCGGAGTCTTTGTGCGAGGCCTGTTAGATCAATAAGACGATAGGAAAGCTGAAGGGGGCACTGTATGATGTAGATATACCGTCTAAAGGAGAGTGGTTAGTTTGCAATATGTGTTTTTTTTTACTGGGTTAAAAAGCATCCCAATATCTTTTCGATATAGAAAGTAAGGGCAGTTCAGAATGAACTGAATATATTCTGATAGGTAAATTGTACTTTCTATGAAAGGCTTTACTGGTGTTCTCTATCTTGGTGTCCAGAAAAGCCAGAATGGTAATATCAAGGGAATTGGGGGTGTCAACGGAAGGGATGGCGCGAACCGTCGTACTATACAGAAGCGAGTGGAGGAGGCGGTCATTATCCAGTATATACGCGGGGACTCTTCTAACCAAACATGTCCGCCACACCAGTAAGATCCGGCCCGTCATTAATATCAACCTTGTTGTTTTGCTGGCCTTCCATCTCCGCGGTCATGTATCTTTCCTGCAAAGCGCTGCGGGCCTTGCGGCGTTCCTCTCGTGAGCCCAGGATCTTTCCTTGCTCGGCGATGCTCACGCCCCTCAGACCTTCCAAAAGATCCAGAATGAGAGCTCGCTGTTGGCGCGCAGCGGTAGATCTAACTAGAGAGGCTTCTGTCATTGCCACTCTCTGCTCATCCATCCCAGGCAGGCTGAGAATCACAGAGCGGGGTGTGGGCGTGCTCGATCCGTAGAGAACCCAGATTGAGGAGATAAGCTGGGCAAGATCTTTTTGCATGTCGACGAAATAGGGCTCATGCACGGACGTAATGCATGCTTTAAGAACCTCCGAGCATATGAATTCACGGATTTGGACTGTTGTTGGAGAGTTATTGGGAGGGGCGAAGTCTTGTAGAATGGATCGGATAACGCGTGTAATGATGCTGCAGCATCGGGTATCACGCATACGAAGCGCATGGGTGCAGAAAAGCATCAAAGGCTCGAAGATCTCCGGTGAGGAAAGGACGAAATGGCGTATAGAGTCAGAGAGCGCAGGCTGGGGATGTGGTGCGCTTGGGTCCGCAGGTTCCTCGTCAGGATCTATTATTGGAATGTTAGCTGGAGGAGCAGAGTATGCGGATCTGGCCACTTACCCCCTCTCTGCGGATCCAGAAGGCTCGCCACCATGATTACCGCAGAATATGTCAGCTGTCGAAGGATACTTTCGGATTTCATCTCATCAGTCAGATCTGCATCAGCAAGACCTTCTCTCTGTTGTTCGATCATAGCCCATTCTGATGTAACCTTCTTATCGATATTGGTGAACAAGGTTGCCAGCATCGGAGGCAAGAAGTGACCACGGAAGCGAACAGGGCAATCGTCAATTAAACATCTCGCAATATTGAGAAGCACCGAGAACTGGTGTGAAGAAAGGCAGGACGAATCCTTGAATAGAGCTTGAGACAAAGGCCCTGGAAGTTCCGCAAACCCATAGAAGTGCTCCCGTAGTCTACTCATGCTATAGAGCATCGAGTAGCAGGATTCTCTAACTGCTCTGATCTTACCCCTGACCGAGGATGCAAAGCCTTCAAGCGATGCCCGTGATGCGGTGATTTTGGCGTAAAACTCATCCCGGCTACCAGTAGATATGCCTGCTTGCCAGAATCTATCGGTTAAGATGCGCTCAACGACCGTCCGCATTTCACCGGGCAGACCGCCCCAATTGGCCGGATTGTGGAAAGCATGTGCATTGCTGCGGGATAGGTTAGCTACGTGGCTCAAGATATAATAGTTAAACCATTTTACCTGACAAGCTCTAGCAATGTCGGCAATATAATTGGAATAGTCTCATGCCAGACATTGCACGCAAGCTCGTATGCTTGTTCACTCTTTTTGAGCTTATCCGTGGAGACAGCAAGCATCGTCTTTGTGCCTCTCAAAGGCAATAGCTAGACTAGCTGTCAGAATCTATTCGGGCTGTCACGGTTCATATTTGGATTACCTGGAATTTTCTAGTCATCTCCTCCTGGATCCGCTTACCCTCGCTGTCAAGAGGTACGGACGCCCAGTCCTCCAACTTTTGGGCATGTTGAGCTTGCATGAACGGTCCCACACTCTGTAGTCCAAGCATAGAGCAAAATCCTTCAAAAGAGGAGCTCATCTGCCGGAACTCTTCATCTTGCCAAGCCTGCCTTATGGGCTCTATGAACGATGCCAAGCGGGACTGGCGCAGATATGGTTCCACGTTATTCGCGCGTTGCCTAGCAGGGTCAGTATGAAAGCATTCCGAACGGCGGGTAAAGTTATGGTTAATACATGATTATGAGAAGAATAGAGGTAAGCTCCATTTGGAGTTTGTCATCCACCCGGTTGGCGAGGCTGATCTCCTTGACTTTCGGTTCGAGTACGTCGTAGAATGTCTTCACACCCCATTAGTCCTGCATTCTCCTAGAAAGATATTTGCTCTAAACTTACGGCGAAATACTCTGAATAGCGCATTGCCAGGCGCCTGAGCTCATGACTGGATAAGCCATGCAGTTCTTTCACGGCCTCAGAGTAGGCAGGAAACTCGGGCTGATCAGGAAGTCGAGTCATGAGAATGTATTCGAGGACTTTGAGCGCAAAGCTAGGGGCCTTGTCGAGAGCCTTTGATGAGATATCAACAATAAGTTTAATAACTCTCTGCTTGAGAATCGGGTCCTGAATCTCCAATTAGCGATGCGGTGTTCGACCATCCCTATTAAGTGCACAATCAAACCTCGAAGCTCCGCTGCATTAATGAGAAAGCCCATTTCTCCAAGATACCCTCCAGGTCACTTCTTTTTTGCTCCTGTTCCTTATCAATGGCATGTAATTTGGTGATGTTGACAGTACTTACATCTTGCTGGGGCATTTTTCCGTGGGCGGACACCCATTTGTTATACCCCTTAAGAGTTGCTTCTACGACGGCAAACTGTGTATCGGCGCGCATCAGAGGAATTGAGCTCTTAGAAAAAGATTTTGCTGTTTTTAAATGTTAGCCCAAAGTTTTCACAGTTCCCAGAGCCAAACACACCGTTGAAAGGCTCAACTCCATTGTAGAGGTTGTTCAAATTAGTATCAACACCTGACAGGATATGGGGGATGGCTTCCTGTGGCCGTTTCTGGACGATCGTTTCGATAATTGATGAGCAATATCTGCGATAATTGCCCACAAAAGCATGTCTTTCCGGGACAGTGTCGATATCGTCATTTAAAAATGCTACTGTGGGATCATCGGAATCCGCTGGTAGGGCCTCCCAACGGACCAGCCGTTGGGTGCAGATCTCTAGTAGCGAAGGAATCAAGCCAGTAACCAGATCAGTGTTTCCTATTCTTTCAGAAGCTAACAATTTGGACCACACGTGGAGGACGGGGATCGAGACCATCAAGCTCTGATGCTGAATAACACTTATTGTCAGGTGGAAGAAGAAAGGCAGATTCATGCCATGCGCGCTCTCTAGAGAAAAGCCCTTCTCCTCTAAGAATCCTGCGATGTACGATAGCATCTCGGACAGCTTCTTCGAGATCATGTACCGGGTATCGTCAATGTCGTCAGGCCCCACAATAGACCATTGGTATAATTTCTGCATAATATCTAGACACTCGGTCTCGTACATCAAATGTACAAGAGGTTGGAAACTCTCCATATCCATGTTGGATCTGCTATATAACGAGTGCAGGGCTTCGACGGCAGCCAATAATACTTGCTCATCTGAACATGTGAAAGCTCTAGCGATAGCAGGGACACAGTTTGAGGAAATAATGGCCTTAGGAATTGCCCACAGCAAAACAGATTTCAGAGTCGCAAGCGCTTTGAGCGCCGCATCTTTCGCTTGTTTTGAGTTTTGTAGATTCTCAATACAATATTGGAGGAACTCGCAGATTCGGGGCAGCCAGCCATCAGAGCCGTACCGTAGCGCGACGTGGTTATCCCTTTTCGGGTAAACCTCTTCAAAAACCGACAGCGGCGTAAAAATCTCAACCAGAGCTCGGTTGAGATCCGTTCCTCGCAACGAGG